ATCAGGACCCATGAACCCACCGACCTCTTACAAGTTCAAGTCCATCCAAGACTTTATTTAATAAGCCCATCTATATTTTACACAAACAGTGACATGTTTTATTTATTTATATTTTTTTAATTCGAAGGGCCAAAAAAATTATTCTAGAAGGCGGTGAGTATAATATGGCCGATAGTTTTATACCATTAGATATAAAAAAGAAAAACGAAACATTATAATTTGACCAAACGTCTAAGAATTTAGAGAGATACTCGTGCATTCTAATCGTCATATTATTCTCTGTAATGATAAGAATTCAAACTTTTAATACTCGTGCATTTATAGTTTTTTTGTTTTTTTTAAATATTTTTAATTTTAGTGGGTTCCACGTCATCAATGAAAAAAAAAAAATTCTTATCGATGAATGATAAGTTATATCAATTTTTACCTTAAATATTCATTCTTAATTTTAACCTTAAAAAACACTCCAATTTTAACTCTACACTTAATAGTATTTTCAAATGCAATTAATGAATTGAAAAACATATGTATGGTTCTAAACTTATATGATCTTAAATAAAAAAAAAACCATTAAAAATAAGTTTTCGTTGAAATAAGTGATTTTTGACCAAATAATATAATTTGATAATTAATCGGAGTGTTCATAGGTTAGTTTGGGTCGTGATATTGTTTAGACCTAACCTTATTGTTGAACTTTTGGATTAGGTGGATGGGTTCAAATTATTTATTCAAAATTTTATTTTTAATAAAAGTAAAATATTAGTGGTAAAATACATTTATTTATTTTCAAATTAAAATTTGCCATTCAAAAATACCTTCCAATCAATTAAAAATTATTTTAAAAAGATGGTGGAAGAATAAATAATAAAAATAAAATTATAAAACTATATATATATTTGTGTCGTAAGCAATTTTTTTATTTATTAATAATAAATTAGATTAATTCAATTCATGAATTTTTCTATTTATAAGTTTATACGCCTGCTTTTTGAATACCCTTAAAAATTATAATAATTATCTAAAAAGAAAAAAAGAAAAAAAAATGATGGGAGTAAAATTAAGTCCAGTTGTGCAGTGGTTTTGGGTGTGGGAGCAAATCAAAATGTTGGAGGAGAAAGAAAGTGTTAATATCAAGAATGACGTAATTGGCATGGACCAATGAGGAGATTTTATTAAGTTAAGGAGTGGGGCCACTTCGAATGTCGGCCACGCAAACATTAGGCTCTACCCCAATGACCGAAGCTGAATCGTCGGCTTCCTCTTTTATTTTCACAATCAATTCTTTTTTGAAACCTATCAAAAGAAGGGCTTATGATGACCCCTTGACGTCTAGTCCTTATAATTTTATGGAGATATCTAGTCAGCTTTTTTCCCACGTCACCCCAAAATTCGAGTCGCTACTTCCCTGTCTCAAGTAGCTGCAGGATGTCTTGAAAGGTTGCCTTTTCGTTTTCCATCATTTATGAACTAATAAAACTCCATTTTGGGAGCTTAAATAAGAGCCACCCAGTTTGTGAGGTTTCCCAATTTGAATGAGGGAGAGCCAGGCATGGAGCTTAGGAGTGGAGCTTTGCTATGGGGAGTGGTGGTTCCTTTTTTGGCGATGGTCAGCTTGGAAGGCTGCACCATTGGACTAACTATTTTGGCTAAGACAGCCATTACTTATGGAACCAACACTTTTGTTTTTGTTGTCTACACAAACGCTGTTGCTTCCTTCCTTCTTCTTCCTTATTCCTTCCTTTTTCACCTCAACCACAGGTTCTAATCCCACTCCCACCAATTCCTCTTCCTTCTTCTTCTAATTTTCTTCATTAACCCCCCTTTTTTTTCTTGTTAATATTATGCAGAACGGATTATCAACAATCTTTGTTTTCCTTTCCTCTTCTCCTCCGAATCTTCCTCCTCGGCTTCACTGGGTTTGTCTTCTCGCTCCCTCTAATACATGAATAAACTAAGAACCCGTCTAGATGAGAATGATTCTCGATAGATTCCTCAAGAAGGGCTTAAAAAAAATTCAACGCGTACTTTTCTTTTTGGTGGTTTAATGGCATCGTAGAATTTCCAAAGTTAAAAAGCTTGTTTTGCTTTTTGAGTAATCCTACTTTTGGTGAACTCTTTCAAAAACATGCTAAAAAGATTCGAAATGATCTCTACTATTTGAAATGAAAAGAAACGTAAATAGCTTGTCAAATCTAGATTTTGAATCTTGATATAAATTCTAACGAAAACCCATTTCAAGAAATCACTCAAGGTAGAATAATATAACTTATTAGACCGTGTTATTTTACTATGAGGATATAAAGTTTTTATTTTTATTTTTTATTATTATTGTGGTGTAGGATATGTGTCTCTCAGAACCTTGCGTTTTTGGGCCTAAGCTACAGCTCTCCAATTGTTGTATGCGTAATGGGTCTTATGCTTCCAGCCATTTCTTTCATTCTCTCGATCCTTCTCAGGTACTCGTTTTATCTTTCTCGATCTCGATCACGATCACGATCAGATAAGCAAGAAGAAGCATTTCCAAGAAAGTGGGAGATTAGTAGTTCTTCTAACTAGGTTTAAATTTCAGGAGAACAAAAATTAACTGGAAAAGTCCAAGTTTCATTACAAAAGTAGTTGGCACAGTTATATCAGTTATAGGAGCTACATCCGAGGAGCTTTACCTAGGCCCCGTTGTTCGTCAGCATCCATCTTCTTCTTTACATTTACACTTCAAACAAAAGCTCTTGGTCTTCACTTCAACCACAGATCGTTGGATCATGGGTGGCCTTTTATTAGCAGCTGCCACTCTATGCGTCTCAATATGGAACATCATTCAGGTTTATATCAATGTTTTATGTCAAACCCATGATGTTTTTTTTGCATTTCTTGACACCCTTTTGTGTGTTTATGATTTTGGTCAGTTGGGTGTGGTGAAACAATACTCACAAGGGATGAAAGTTGCCTCCTTTTATAGTTTGGTGGGCACTTTAATGTCCGCAGCCATGGCTTTCTTTTTTGTCGATGACTTGAATGCATGGATAATCAAATCAAAATTCGACATCTTTCTAATCATTGCAACGGTAAGAAAACGAATTTGGATGATCACCTCGTATTAAGTATTGTTTCAAAGCGTTGAATTCGATGAAATTTGCAGGGTGTTTTTAGCGGTTTGATTAGGAATCGAGTGCAAATATGGTGCATGCAAATGAAAGGGCCATATTACGTGCCCATGTTCAAGCCCTTTGGTATTCTTTTTGCTACTTTCTTTGGCTCCACCTTTTTTGGAGATACTTTCCACTACGGAAGGTAAAATTATTGTTTGTCTTTTGAATTAATCTCTTTTGGGTTTGTTGGATTGGGTTCAAGGAGTCGTTTTTGGTGGTAAAGTTTGAATTTTTTTGTGGTATGATGGCAGTGTGATGGCGGCGTTCATAGCTGGGATGGGATATTTGACTGTAATGTGGGGGCAAATCAATGAAGATCAAGGAAGAGATGATAAAAGCAACGATGATTTGTCTTCTTCTAGAGTTCCACTTCTGGATGAAGAATCAAAAGTGTAAAATAAAATATCTAATATGATCAGAAGAAGTTATTTTGGAATGAATTCTGATCATATGAAGCTTTTTGTTTTCATGGAATCTCAATCTTTGGCGTTGAGAGGAATTGTATATATATTGTTCTAGTGTTGAGTGGGATCCTTTGTGTTTTGTATAAATGAAATGATGATTGTTTTTTTGTTATTTCGATCTCTCGTTCTTTTGATTCGTTAAGCTTTTGGTAGTGTTTTGATTTTCTATTCTTTATTAAAGGTTGAGTGAACTTTGGTCCAAACGTCGAGATGAATTTTAGGTTTCTAAGTCGTGATAGCTCTTATGGATTAATATTCGGATGAACCTTAAACTCAACATCGATACCGGTTGGGTTTCCAACTTTCTATAACTCCAACCGGTTAAAATTTGAATAGGCTATAGTCCAAAGAACATTACAGGCTCTTGAAAGGACGAACTTTTAGTTCCCAACATGATAGAGCTCTAATAAGTCAAAGTTTCAATGATAAGTTCAATTCACGATGGTTATCTACATGGAATCAAATGGGTAGGGTCACATTGCAGTCTCCAATAAAATAAAAAAGTTTAGTTGTGACAAATTTTTGAAAAATAACTTTTGATATTGGCAAAAATTTTAAAAATTAAAAATAAAGTTAGAATGATATGATGAGTGGGGTTTTCAAAAGTTGAAAGCATGTGTGTTTGAAATATCAATTCACCCACCAATCCCATAGTGACAGACTTTATAGTAAAATAATTATTGGTAAGATAGATATTTGGGGATGAAATTAATCATTATTTGATTTAATAATCTCATGAACTTTAGAATATTCATTAAAACTGACATCATTCAAACTATTATCACTATTATAATTCATATTATATTGGTAGCATTTATTAATGGGTTAGATGAGAAATTTGAAATTAATTATAATACCTACTTGTTTCTTTCACTATTATAATTCTCTAATTCTCCAATTCATCCGAGGTCGAATATCGGGGATGGAGTGAGACGGGTTAGCACCCCTCGTCGCCTGTGTACCCATCATCAGGCAGCCTATTTGAACTAGACAAGAAGTTTGGTAGGTTGCCAACAAGTTTGTCCCAAGCCAAAGAATGTTCGGGTTCAAAAGCTCAAAATCTAGCATCGACTAGTCATAAAGGATAACGTAGTAAAGGAGTTGAGCTTCCTTTTCCTTTAACTTTCGTGGAAATATATAGAGACCTATTTAACTAGTGGAGCCTGAGCGAGTCTCCTCACAAAGTGGAAAATCTCCATTGAGGAAGAGACTGAGAGAAATTTCTCCGAGTTGGCTAAAGATTCTCCATTCCCGGTCCCCACTCCCGAACCTACCCAAATCCCCGTCCTATCCCGACCAACTCACTTTATATATATATATATATATATATATATATATATATTCCTGCTTTACTTGCTAAATAGTCTTGCGTTATGCATAATGTAAGCTCAGAAAGAACAAGATAATTATCTAATCCATTCAGCCGACAAGAAGAAGAACAAGAGAACATGAAACACAACAAACGCATACATAGGAACCACATAATTCTCCATAGCCTTTATAGAGACAGCCTCTCCATAACTGAGGTGTCATTGGTGTATCTATGGCTGCTGCAGAACGTAGTCGTCCAGTTCCAGGAAATTCTTCACCACGAAGTCCTTAATGACATGAGGATCAGGAACCTCCTCACTCGCCTTCTCAAACTCACAACTCCATTTCACTTTACTTCCACTCCCATCTTCTTTAGGAATCACACCAATGTGCCCCTTGAAACTCTTGTAATACTTCAGAAGATCCCCTTCAATCACGCTGTAAGAAACCGTCATCGCTTCCTCGTCCACGGCCTCGATCCTCTCTTTCGAATCCTTCACGAGCGAAGAACCTGATCCACAAAATTCCACAACAAAATGAATGATCCCATGTATGACAAAGTAACCAGAATCATGTCAAAGAGTTTACCCTCAGAGTATGTAATGAGGCGAACAGAACCGACCGCTTTCCCATCTCCTTCAAGAACTTCAATGCTTTTGTAGTCATGGGGGAAGGCCTTGGGGAAGATGATGGCTGAGTCCCTCATGGAATTCCAGAACTTGGGTGCGATCGACTTCACGTCAACCTCTACGTTAAGCGTTCCATCAGAAGCCATAGTGCAGTGCAGATCAGTGAGTTGAAAGTAGAGATGAAGCCTGAATATGTAGTGGTGGTGCAGCTGAGAGCTTTAAATTGGTTAGGAGAAGTTCAACTGCCGCTTTAATGGCCGGTTCGGCGGGCAGCTACTTCCCACAAGCTTCCCCTCCACATTTTGCTGCACATTTAATTACTCATTGACCTACGAGACAGGAAAGAATGGAGGTGTTCATGATCTTATCTTTGTTAACTACAATCTCATGACGATCACCGACACCGATAATTCTCAAGAAGCATTTAAGTCGTTGGCCTAAAGGCTCACATATGTAAGAAAATATGTGTGTAACAATGAAGCTATTTTAAACATTTTTTCTTCTTTTATATTAAGGGTATAAATGTAATTATTGAAAACTTAGGATTATTTTGAAATGAGATACTGATCCTTTCTATTTATATATATATAGTTTTATTTTATTTTATTTTATTTAAGGTTATTATTAAAATTTTAAAATAAAATATCCATAATTTCCATAAAAAATTATACAACTGTAAATTGACCATCTAATTGGCTTCGTTACATAATTTTACATTAATACCCTTTCATCTATTGTCGGATTTTACAGTTTCTTCCATAAAAATACCATTCTAATTTTACATTAGAAAAAAATTGAATTTTTTTATAAAGATTAAAGTGGTTAATTTTGATTGTATTTATATATATATATATATATATATATATATATATATATATATATATATATATATATATATATTAAAAAAAAAAAGGGTAAAAAGTAAATTTGATTTTGGAAATAATTCAGTTAAGTGTATCAATTTCCATTTCAGATAATCCCAAGAACAATAGAAATTTTAAATTCCCAAAAAAATTGCAAAACCAACAATGCTTTCCTAATCAATTCACATTCCCCATCCCAACGAAAAACAAAACTTCAAAATCCAAACATTTTGGAACGAGTTTAAGATGAACATGATGAATGCGTACCCTCTCACAATCCAGATTGCTGCTCCCAGCTGTTCATGATCTGCAGGAGTATCTCATTCCAAGTGTCCACAGGCCCAGGCAGGCACCAATGAACGCAATCATTCTGAACCCGCTCCCCAACGCCGCCATTGCCGTATGGAAACGGATGCATGTAAGGCCCAGGGTGCCCATCAGGCCTCAGCAATGAAACTTTCGTCACATCCAACGCTGCAATTCTCAGCCCCCCACTCTGCTTCGCTCTCCCCTTCGCTTCTTCCACCTCCTCCACTTCAATCGCCCTTATTTCCGCATCCATTCCCTCCAATTTCTTCTCGCTTTCCTTATACGGCTTCGTTTTAGGACACGCCCCTGCCTTGTCCCACTCTCCTTCAAAATGCGACGGCGAAAATGTCGCTAAAAAGATACCCAATTCATTGCTGCTTGACGAACCCCTTCTGTCGATTACAGCCTCAAACGTCGTCCTCAATCCCTTTCTCAACGCGTCGTAGAATCCAATCTCGGTGTGGTTCAAACCAGGGCAGTAATGGCAACCCATTATAGAATCATCCCCTTCGTAATACACTGCGGGATGTAAATACCAATGCCCGATTGAGAACACTACTAAGTTAAAACCATCCAAATCCACAGCCCATTTCTCGTTTACGCGATGTAAGAACAGTTCATTGTGGTTAGGGCCGGCGTTTGATTTTTCAATTCCGTCGACGAGGAACGGCGACCAGTAGACCGAAACAGTGAGATTATGAGATGGGAAATTCCATCGCCGGAATTTGTTGTCCTCGCCGGAAGTGTAAACGAGTTCCGGAGTGGAAACAGAGGCTAAAATACAGAGGAGGGACTCTAATTGGTTCCTCGCCATTGAATCGCCGATGAAGGCAATGTGTTTGTTAGTCATGAGGTGAAAGAATTTGCTGGGATCAAACCTTGGGAGAGAGCATTTGTGGGGCTTCCATCGCCAGTAGAGATAGCCCAAATCAGAGCGGCCATGAGCAAGGCAATTTTGGGCGTCTTTAATTGTGCCGCAGGTTGAGCCATTGTATAAAGGTCCCAGCTTGTCGGGGACCCATTGGCCGTCGGTGTAGTCGCAGGGAGTTTCATTAATCGCATTAACTTCTTCTTCTTCTGTGGAAAAGAAAGAAATAAATGAAGAACACAATGAAAGAAACCCATTTCACCAAACAAAAAACCTGAAATAAAAGACCATTAAAGAAGCAATCTTGAGCTGTTGCTGTTACCTTCATGAACAGAGGAAGGTGAAAAATGAGGAGGCGACAAAGAAGAAGAAGAAGAAGAAGAAGAAGAAGAAGAAGAAGAAGAAGAAGAAGCTATGATTTGGGGGGTTCGATGAATGGGAGAATCTGGGAGATGGACTGGATGAAAGTATAAGCGGAAGAGGGCGATGGGGAGAAGGGCATAAATGGTCCAAGGAATGAGCTTTTTGATGAACTGTGAATGCCTCGGCTCCTTCAAGAGATTGGTAATGGACACCATTTCTGATGACCTTACCTTCTTTTGATCTCTGCAACTTCAACGCAGAGACAGAGACCAAAAGCTCTCGTCTTTTTCCCTTTTCTTTTTTGTTTCCTTCTACACTTTTTTTTATTCAGCCGGCGAGTTGAGGTAGTGGGAGCTCTGTAACCCGTGGGTTTTGGTTTTGGCCCAAAACCCACGTATACGTGTCTTCTTATCATTGGTGGAAGGTGCTTTTCTTTTATTTATTAATTAAAAGGATGGAAAGAGAAACGAGATGATTGATGCTTATTTTCTTTTCTTTTCTTTTTTTAAATTATATTTTAAAATATTTTAAGGTTTTTTAAAGCTAGAAACAAAATTAGAAAAATATTTATTTATTTTATATTCTAATAATTTCCTTTTTTTGAGCCTAGCAGCAAGATGATTGGACTTTTTTTTTTGAGTTAATCATATTCCCCTCCACGTTTTAAGTGGACAACGAAAACCCGAAACAGCCCTCCATTAGTTGATGACAGCACATTTTATGAGGGACTGGATAGGAATTATGCATTGTGACCCAATAGAAAGCTAACCCAACTTTTCTTGTTTTCCAACTCATTTTTAATTCGTACATCTAATTTGTTTGAGAAAAAATGTAAATATAATAATTAAGTCTTTAAAGTGAGAAATTGAAAGTTGGTTTTAAAATGGTTAAAATTGAGAAAATTATTATTATAATATTTGAGTCCCACACCTGCCTCACCTAACTAATGACTTTTTATTACCATATAAAAGTCAGACATCTTTTTGTTTGAAGAGGATTAAAATACAAATAATAATAATTATTATTATTGGATGATGAAAGCCCCACCTCGACTAATTTAGGGAATGATTATAAGTTTATAATCAAGAAATAATCTCTCAATTGGTGCAAGCCTTTTCGGGAAATCGAAAGCAAAGTCATGCCCTAAACTTAGTCCTACCAATAGATTTGGATAGATAAATATAGTATATTAAAGTTCAATTAATTTAGGATTTCTATCTTTAATTTTTTTAAAATCTAAAAAAAAAAAAACATTACCATAAACAAATATTAGAAATAAAGTATTTACAATTATACCCTTAAAATTGAATAAGAAAATGATCTATGAAGCATAAATAAATATTTATTATTTTTTTCTACGAAGATTAAAGATATTAATATTACTTTTAAAAGTTGGTATATATATATATATTTTTTAGCATCTAACATATTAATAAAACTTTTGAAATATTTAAACAAATGATAAAACATTGGGACAAATTAAGAAATTTAATGTTTTATTATTAATTTGACCTTATTGTTATTTATAGGATCCATTAATAACCAATAAGAAACCATAACGTTGTAAACAGGGATTTAATGATTTAAGATTTGGGTGACGTGGATGGGATGTGTAATTATGTAATGTGTGTACTTTATTATTGGAAAATGTTGGTGTAACAGTCACATGATTTTGGGTTGGTTTTTGTATTTATTAAAGTGACAATGTCAGAATTCACATGTGTCTAAGAAATGCCTTTTTCTTTAATCAAATTTTATTTGGTTGCATAAATAGAATGTGAGGGACGACCATATAATATACATTTATTTTATTTAGAATTAATTTATATTATGTAGTGTTTTGACTTATTTAATTAACAATTTAGATTTATTTTCATTATTATTAAATAAGAATGATGAAATAATATATATATATTTTCTTGCCTTCTATTTATATTTCTCAAAAAATTCATATCTAATTTTTATTTTTTTTTTAATGAAAATTTTTTAAAAATTGGTTTAATAATTAAAAAATGTTAATAAATGAATTTAAAAAATAGTTTATTATTTGTTTATGCAATTGAAATGGTAATTCGGACTATTTAGGTCAATAGATTAAAATTATGTGACATTGTTGAAGAAGAAAAGCCCTAATTTATATAGAGATTAGAAAATTATTACGTTACCAACTCCTTCAATAGGAGGAAGGACGGTTGCAAGCGAGGAAGAAGGCGAGAATGGCACTGGATGGTTGCTGCAATGGAGATGACTTCACTGTTGGGTCCTTCTTCTCCATCAAGACAACCTTGGGCGATGAATTCCAAGGACAAGTCATTACTTTTGATGCCCATTCCAACATCCTCATCCTTCATATCCTTTCTGTGTTTCTACAATTTGTGTAATAGTTGTTATCAGTTGCTTCTTGAATTCCTTAGTTCTTTTCTGTTATCCTTAATTTCGTGGCTTCCACAAGAGGGTTCAAAGTCAGGACCTCGTAGAAACATAAGGCTGCTGAAGGCTAATTATATTAAGGAGTTTTCATTTTTGGGACATGGTGAAGATCCTATTGACCTCAAGAAGTGTTACTTGGATATCAATACTCTCCGGGCTCGAGAGGAACTGGCCATTAGGTTAGTCAATAGCCTATTGTGATTTTAGTTGTTTCTGATTCAATTATGTGATCTCATTCTCTTTTGCTTCTCGGATTGTATTGAATTTCGCAGGCAAGCTGAGACAGAGGCGGAGAGGATAGGAGTGGGTGTGACCAGCGAGGCCCAGAGTATTTTTGACGCCTTATCTAAAACGTAAGCTTAATTTTATTTCGTTCGTTGGAATATTTGGAAATACTGTTTTTAGTTCATATCCACGCATTTTTGGTAATTAGTGACAATTTGATCAGTTTTCTTTGCTCATGTAATTTTTCCATTAATTTTGATCATTTCTATGTATTGATTCCATATTAAGAGAAGCCAAGAATGTTTTTGTGTTTTTATATCTTAGATGCCTTTCTTGAGTGTTGTGTTAGTGAACTTGTTTTCAGATCATTACAGTGGATTCTCCCTCTTCTTACTCGCAGTTCTTCTCTAGAAGTTCTTTTAAAAGCTTAGTTACATTTGAAAATAATTTAAATTTTTGGGATGAAGAAATTGAACCTTGGAACTAATATTTTGGATTTGAGGGGGAGTACGAAATCTGTGACTTTTTCGGAAATTGATGAAATCTGTATGATAATAGGAAGTCTGTATAATAAGGGGTCTACCTGGTTTTCAACCTTCACTAGTGATAACAGCTTTGATTAGAACCATGATGCTTTGTTGTGCCACATATTTCCTAGTGTTTGACAATGGATAAGATGCAATTGATTCATCCCTTTAGATTCAATTGCATATGAATATTGTTTTCCAGCTTGGGCAGCATGATTACTCTGAAACTTGATGATTCGGGCCTTGCTATGATTAAGACCTTGAACTCCTATGTTATAGCACTAATTCTTGTGCTATCAACCATGATTTGTTGGAAATTTTAGAAGAAATCATTTTATAAGTTTTAACATGTCTCTGGATGATATAACATTAAGATTGATTTTACTTTGTTCCCTTAAACTAATGATGGTAATTCTTACATCTTTTGTTTTTTATGATTTTGATCTTTGTACGACCTTTTGAAATCCATGGCAGTTGTTTAGAAGCACCACTCGAGTAGTTTTATGTATAATTGTGTACCAACTTCTATGGAACTTATTTATTTTTTGCTGTTCCCAATGCAGAAGTCATAGTTGTCATTGCTTGGTGCTAGTTCCTCGATTTGAAGTTGAAACTTATGTCAGCTTCATTCTTTATTTGGTTTTTTGTACAACCAAAAATGGCCATGTTTGTTCAAGTTTAATTAATAATTTTAGAACTTAATTTTTCTGTACTGCCAGGTTTCTTTAACGTATATGCTTTCATACTTTTGAGTCTGAGAAGGAATCAAGAACTTTTTCTTCAAGAGAGTATTATGCATTCTTATGGTAGAATTGTTTTATTTACCCCATATGATATGTAAATGATATCAATGACTTGGTTCTATTAGGAACCACAGATCTCTACAATGGTATGACATTGTCTACTTTGAGCATAAGCTCTCATGGCTATGCTTTTAGTTTTTCCAAATTGAACACTAGACTACTACTAGAAAGACGAGACTACGACTACAATATCAAACTAGAGACTACTCAGGTGCGGGAAAGTTAGGAAGTAAAGACTCAAGAAAGATTCCCTTTCCAGGTTTATGGATTGGATTCAGTCCCTGTGCCAGCCACCCTGTTATGGAACAAGCAGTCTACGGCACCTAAACAACCGCCCTTCTCTATTGACTTAGGAAAGGCAGTAAGAAAGTCGTCCGTCTCAACGTAAAGAAGAGGAGAATGAGCCGTAACAGGAAAGAAAGAATCAGACTCGGATATCCCTTTACTGGGTGTGGGTTCCACTGTAGCCGGAACCCTTTATCCAAAATCAAGCAGTGAGAAACAAGCTCAGAAAGTGGGCTTGGAAGCCAAGGGGCAAGCCAAACCCTGTTGAAGGAAGGGCTGAATAGCTTTGAGCGAGGGTGTGACGCTAAGACATCATACCAATGGAGATGTATTCCTTACTTATAAGCCCACAATCGTTCCCTTAATTAGCCAATGTGGGACTCCTCCCAACAATCCTCCCCTCGAACAAAGTACACCATAGAGTCTCCCTTGAGACATATGGAGCCCTCAAACAGCCTCCCATTAATTGAGTCTCGACTTCTTCTCTGGAGCCTTCGAACAAAATACACTTTTTGTTCAACACTTGGTCACTTTTTTGTTTGACACTTGAGGATTCTATTGACATGGCTAAGTTAAGGGCATGACTCTGATACCGTGCTAGAAACCATGGACCTCCACAGTGGGATGAAATTGTCTACTTTGAGCATAAGCTCTTGTAACTATGCTTTTGGGTTTTCCAAAAGATCTCATACCAATGGAAGTGTATTCCTTACTTATAAACCCATGATCATCCCCTTAATTAGCCAATGTGGAACTCCTCCAACAATCCTCAACAGGTTTGAATGATCAATTTTACTGTTTGTTGCTAAATGCATCCATTCTTTTGTCTTCTGTTATGGAATCTGAAAATTAGAGAACAGTATGGGCACCTGTTGGGATTATAAACCCAAGTATGCTCATCTGATGATCTGATTTCATGAGGCATGCACATACAGAATTACAAATGCAACAGAAATTAGGTACAAAAGCATCATGATAAGCTTTAATCTTTTCGAACTTTTTATTGCATGGATCATTTTCTCTTGCTGTTCCAGCTGTATAATTTTTCTAGTTCGTAGACTCTGCTTTATTGTTTTGATATTCTGGCTGAGGCAATTAGTGCAATCCCAGGCTTCCTGTGCGTTGGGACAAGTCTGTCATTGTTGTAATGAATGAAGTACGTGTAAGCAATCCCTATCTACCAGAATCTGTTACTGGAGGCACTCCTGCTGCCAATGACCGGGTGAAGAAAGTGGTACGAATCTTTGATAGCACTAGCTTTTCACTTCTTTCTTTGCAATGCCTTGTGCAAACCTCTTTACGTATGGATTTTTCTCTTAAAGCTTGAACTGGAGAGGAAGCGGTTGCAAGTTCGTGGCGGTGGTCAGTGATGGTTATTCATCCCTCTTCTTCTTGGTGACAGGCAATTGCCTTAACTTAGTCCTTTTCTAATGGGGGAACGTAAAATCTCTTAAGGCATCTCAGTGTCAGCAATCATGAAGGAATTTCGTGTTCAAGTGGTACCCAATCTGCTGCCGAAATTGTATGGTTATTGGACTCCTGGTTGTTGATTTTCTCCTGTTTATGAACTGCACTGGAGGCGCCCTGGCAAAGTTTTTTGTGGGTCCATATTTTTATGTTTTCCAAGATTTGCTCTGTTGCAATGTATTCAATTTGCAATGAGCAAACTAGACGTTATGACTGTCCACCTCTTATTGAATCATAATGTGGAAAAACTAACCCTGATGTATTTGGAAAATTGAAAGAATAGGTTTCTTCTCATGTTTCACCTCTCGACCTTTTCTCTGTTAAGTATCAAGCATCATAACAGGGACAGCTTTGATGCTCCAGGCGTCTAATGGCCGAACATCGATGTCGTTTGGGGCCTAAGATCAGCCCCACATTCATAATTTTCTTGCCTTTCGATTTCGCTAGTTAGAATTAAGAATTCTTTTTGAAAACATTTTCTGTTGAAGTACTCCGCAGATGCAAATGGAAAGCTTGAACAGGGCATGTTATGGCTCCAAAAGAAAGCTGAATTTTCTTTTTCATACCCTTTCTTTTCCTCCCTTTGCTTTTCCAAATGGCCCCATTATCCATTGTTTCTTTATTCCTTTCTTGAAATTGGTAGACTAATTCTTAATCCTTACGCTGTGACATTTAGAAAGAAATGTATATGGCCCGCTTAGTTCAGGGAATAAAATGATATCCTTTTATCTGCACTATCACTATCACTATCTCCCCTCAAGGACAGTCAATGTCAATGACATTCAAAGAGATCGCTTGTTTTTAAGTACAGAATCATCGAGTTTTTTTTACCATTTATTTTCCAGTATTCTCTAATGGAAGCGTGTTCTGTAAGTTGAACGAGCTGCAAAAGTTGACATCACTGACTAAAATAAGGAATTTGATACTCATCCTTTTCAGTCATTAGCAGAGTTTTATATCAAAAACAGTCTCAGTACTTTTGATTATTCTTTACAGAATGGAACAAACTGCTCTCAAAACAATATGACAAACCAACATAAATTGGGATGTTTCTCGATTCTCTTCTGCAATTTCAGAGTTACAAAACCAATCAACTTCACCTGAACTAAGCCAATCTGCAAGCTTTCAGAGGACCTGTTCTTGGTGGGTGTCAATGCAAACCAGAATCCTTGCTGACCTGCTGAAACAAAGTCTCCTGCAATTTGACAACACATGGGAAGAAGGAAAAGGAAATCTCAAGCTTATTTTCTGCGAGCCTTGAGCGCCTTGAGCATCCGACATTGGTCCTTTAATGGAGTTGCTTTGTTTAGGATGATAAACAAGCAAAGTTGCCTTACTGTTCTAAACTGTTCTATAGTTACCCATGTCAGTAAGTTAGCCAATGAAATGGGAGTGGCGAGACTTCAGCTTGGAGAAGCATGGAATAAGTTGTTTTTGTTCTGCAAGTAGTGGGAATTGCTTAAACTAATTGCAGAGATTCGCAGGGGAGATGGTGGAGAAAGGCTTTAATACAAACTTTATCTTTAGGTGATTGAAGAAAAGTAAGAAGACTGACAATAAAATAACGAACAAGGAGATGCTGCTGTGGCTTTAGGTTACGGAGAGGTGTGCTGCATTCTTTCTTCCTCCAAGAGAGGTATCACTCTTTTTGCTTCTTTTCTTATCTCTAATTCACCTTTATGTTTCCATGTCTTCAAACCCAAGTGGGTCTTGAGCTGTAAACCTCATTTTCCCCATTTTCACACTCCCAACTTCTTTCACTTCAATGCTTTCCTTCTGAAACTTTGGCCTCTGTTTCATTTTGTTGTTCCATTTCTTGGTTTACGTGTAGGATAAAGGCATAACTTTTGTTCCGGACTTTGACTTCTTTGTTTTTTCCTTCTATTTGTGCGGATTATTTGGAAGAAGGGAAGGAGAAGGAAAACAAAACAATGGCAGGAGGTGGAACATCTGCACCACCGCCAAAACAGGAGGAGCTGCAGCCACATCCAGTAAGAGATCAGCTACCCAATGTTGCTTATTGCATTACTAGTCCTCCTCCCTGGCGTAAGTTCTTCAAGTTTTCCTTTTCTTTTCCTCATTATTAAGTAAATTGCTGCTCTGAAGAAGAATATTTTGCTTTTTAATGAAGTTTCAACTCTAATGTTTTAACATTCCTCTTCTTGATTTCATATAAACTTAGTTGTTTGAAATTTGAAATGCAGCTGAAGCAATTCTTCTGGGTTTCCAACATTACTTGGTTATGCTGGGAACAACAGTGCTAATTCCCACCTCTCTAGTTCCCCAAATGGGAGGAGGAAATGTAAGCTTACAATTGTAATGGATATTTGAAGTTCTTCTTGTTTCTATTACTCTGTTCATTTTGGTACAAATTTTCATTTCAGGAGGAGAAAGCAAAGATGATACAAACATTACTGTTTGTAGCTGGTTTGAACACACTTCTCCAAACGTTTTTTGGTACTCGTTTACCTGCAGTAATTGGAGGCTCGTATTCATATGTGCCAACGACAATTTCAATTATTTTGGCGGGTCGTTATAGCGACATTGTGAATCCCCAGGAGGTAACTTCATAGATTCATACCATATGCTTAAATTTCACTCTCATGTCCTCAGTTAAGACTCTGACTTATCCAATCCATAATGTGTATCAGAAATTCGAGAGAATTATGCGTGGAATTCAGGGTGCACTTATTGTTGCCTCGACGCTTCAGATCGTCGTCGGTTTTAGCGGCCTTTGGCGAAATGTTGCTAGGTTTTCCTTTTAGCTTGTTGTACTTCTATCAAGCTTTTCTGGTGCAAATCTTCAGTGGCTTTTGACAGAGTGCTCTAAATCCAATGAAGCTTGGTTTTGAAAATCGTTTACGATAGTAATCTTCTTCGACTCGTCTGATTTGTAATCGTCCTTCTGTATACTTGTTCAGGTTCTTGAGTCCACTCTCTACTGTTCCTTTAGTAGCTTTGTCAGGATTTGGGCTATATGAGTTGGGTTTCCCAGTGGTATGTATTTTATAACGCTGAAGGAACTCTAAATTCCCTCCTTTTAGTCTCAATCTTACACACCATCTTCTTATTTGTTTTGTAGCTATCAAAATGTGTGGAGATTGGGCTTCCACAGCTTATCCTGCTAGTAGTGTTCTCACAGGTATCGTCAAATCTTTCAAGCCTCAATTATGTTTGGATCTTATTAAACGCAGTCTAATTGTTTTGCAGTATATACCTCATATGATAAAAGGCGAACGGCACGTATTCGACCGTTTTGCTGTTATATTCTCAGTTGTGATTGTTTGGATATATGCTCATCTACTCACGGTGGGAGGTGCATATAAGAGTGTGGGTCCAAAGACTCAACTAAGCTGTCGTACTGATCGTGCAGGCATTATAGGTGGTTCTTCATGGTAAGACTGAAATCAACTCTCCTATTTCGTGCCATTTTGGAGTGCTTATATAGCTGTCGATATGCATGAAAACATCGCTCGACTGATTCGTGAACTGTTTATAGGATTAGTATTCCATATCCCTTTCAATGGGGTGCACCCACATTTGACGCTGGTGAAGCTTTTGCAATGATGGCTGCTTCATTTGTTGCACTCGTAGAGGTTTTGTTCATTTCTTGGGAGCTTATGAACATATGTTTGTTGGCAACTTCAACATCATTGCTTACTTTGGCATAATGTTTTTTCGGGTTCGACAGTCCACAGGTGCTTTCTTTGCTGTGTCTAGATATGCAAGTGCAACTCCACTCCCGCCGTCTGTTCTTAGCCGGGGTGTCGGTTGGCAGGTAAATAAGTCACTACATACAAGATAAAATGTGCAAAACAATTATGTTATGCAAGTATTTGATAAGTTTGCTTATTGTTATCGTTTCTTCTAATGATCCCAGGGAGTGGCCATCTTGTTTTCTGGTATATTTGGCACAGGAAATGGGTCCTCGGTATCTATGTAAGAACTCTGCAACAACTAAAACTAAGTCATTTCCCTACGTGAAATCCCGCATCGGTTGGAGAGAGGAACGAAACATTCTTTATAAGGGTGTGAAAACCTCTCCCTAGTAAACACGTTTTAAAACCTTGAGGGGAAGCCAAGAAGGAAAAACCCGAAGGGAGACAATATTGACTAGCGGTGGGTTTAGGTCATTACAAATGGTATCATAGCCAGTCACTGGACGGTGTGCCAGCGATGACGCTGGGCCCCCAAAGAGAGAGGTAGATTATGAAATCCCACATCGGTTGGAGAGGGGAACGAAACATTCCTTATAAGGGTGTGAAAACGTCTCCCTAACAGACACATTTTAAAATCTTGAGGGAAAGTCCAAAGAGGACAATATCTGTTAGCAGTGGGCATGAGCTGTTACAAATGGTATCAGAGCCAGACACAAGCGGTGTGCCACCGATGACGCTGGCCCCCAAGGGAGTGAATTGTGAGATCCCACGTGAGTTGGAGAAGGGAACGAAACATTCTTTATAAGGGTGTGCAAATCTCTCCCTAACATACGAATTTTAAAACCTTGAGGGAAAGGCCATAAGGAAAAGTTCAAAAAGGACAATATCTACTAGCGCTAGGCTTGAGCTTGGGTTTAGGCTGTTACATGCTATCTCTTAATTTGGCCTTACAGTGAAAATGCAGGGCTGTTAGCATTAACACGCGTCGGTAGCCGAAGAGTGGTGCAAATATCTGCTGGCTTTATGATCTTCTTTTCCATACTTGGTAAGAGAAGTCCTGGTTCCATTCATCAGTATCATCAATTCAGTTCTATTAAGATGCATTAACAGGATGCCTATGCATATCCAGGAAAATTCGGAGCTATCTTTGCTTCAATCCCTGCCCCGATAATTGCAGCTCTATATTGCTTTTTCTTTGCCTACGTTGGTATGTCTTTTGAAGCTCAAAATTCTCTTCTGTATTCACATCAGAATGGTTAACTTGATCTGGTTTAAATCAATGGTTCAAGAACAGGTTCAGCAGGCCTCAGCTTCCTTCAGTTTTGCAATCTCAACAGTTTCAAGATCAAATTCATATTGGGCTTCTCTATCTTCATGGGACTATCTATTCCTCAGTACTTCAACGAGTACACCGCTGTTAACGGTTACGGTCCGGTACACACAAGAGCGAGATGGGTAGGAACCAGTCTTACCAATTTCACATCAGCATCAATGAAAACCATTTGATTATCAGTCATTTTTGTTATATACTTCACACTCAGTTTTGAACTCGTGTTTCAGTTCAATGACATGATCAACGTGCCTTTCGCATCTGAGCCATTCGTTGCTGGATTTCTGGCACTGTTTCTCGATGTCACACTACACAGCAAGGACAATGCAACAAAAAAGGACAGAGGAATGCATTGGTGGGACAAATTCCGCTCGTTTAAAACCGATACAAGAAGCGAAGAATTCTATTCTCTTCCGTTCAATCTCAACAAATTTTTCCCATCTGTTTGAAGTTCATTGCTGATGAAATGGTTTGCAGTCATCACATCAAGCTGAAGGCTATATGCCTATAATCACTGTGAGATTCACAACATCAGACCTTTTTCACTCTAATTACAGCATGAATGTCGGTGTATGCCTTGTAGTACCTGCAGTTTGATTCTATATTTTTTTCGGAGAAAAAGCATATGAAAGTCCTTTTGTGAGCCTTGCCAATATCTTTTAGCTCAAGCCAACGGTAGTTTCTCTTAGAAACATTTGACTTTTTTTTGTTGTCCTCTTATCTTAATTTTGAAAAGATTTTAATTATGTCATGGCCAGGCCCAAGCCCACTGCTAGCAGATATTGTCCTCTTTGAGTTTTCCCTTTCGGACTTTCCCTCAAGGTTTTTAAAACACGTCTGCTAGGGGGAGATTTCCTTACCCTTATAAAGAATGTTTCGTTCCCTCCCCAACCGATGTGGCATCTCACAATCCACCCATCTTCAGGGCCTAGCGTTCTCACTGACACTCGTTCCTCTCTCTAAGCAATGTGGGATCTCACAATCCACCCTCTTTCAAGGCCCAGCGTCCTTTGGCTCTGATACCATTTGTAACAACCCAAGCTCTTCGCTAACAGATATTGTCCTTTTTGGGCTTTCTCTTTCAGGCTTCCCCCAAAAGTTTTCAAAACGCGTCTGCTAGGTGAAGGTTTACACACCTTTATAAAGAATGTTTTGTTCTCCTCCTCAACCGATGTGGGATCTCACAATCCACCCACCTTCGTGGCCTACGTCCTTGCTGACATTTGTTCCTCTCTCCAATCGATGTGGGATATCACATGTCATGTCTTGCGAGAAAAGAGAGAGAGAGAAGAAAAACAATAAGCGTGCTCCTCTTTTCCGGTTTCCTTCTTCATAACTGCTACAGGATCTAGTTATTAAGTCATTAGGAGCGTTTAGCTCACACGACCATACTATAATAGTTAACTTCTGCAAAGTCTTATGGGCTATATGTACCAAAATATGGCCAAAGCCCACAAATGGACTCATACAGTACAGTTCATGGTGCCTTGAGACATATTTTGTAATCTGAGATGAGTGATGCACATTATTTGCACTTGAAAATGAATCACTTTGGTTAAACTATGCCTAAATTCAAAGAGGAATGCATTGAACCAAATCATTTTGTTAATGATGTGCATTGATATGAGCCTGACAAATATGGGAAGCATAACAGATGCATCTTTCTTTGACATAAACAATCAACCAAGCCTGCCATCAGCAAAAGCACTTGTGTTACATTACAAAGCATATCTCTTGGACTTCAACCCATTAATTATTATAGTGCCAACCACAGCTATTTTTTGAACATTTTGAAGTTAGAAGACAAACACAAATACCTCCTCCAAAAGATGGAGTTGCTAGGCTGATTTTCCCCAATATGCAAATGGACAGAAACCCATTGTCCAATACGGGACATCACTTGAAACATTAAATGGACTGATTCAGAGAGCCCTTTCTTCTATTTGTTAGATCTGTCTGTCCAATCAAATTTGTTGTAACCGTCCAAGCCCACCGCTAGTAGATATTGTCTTCTTTGGACTTTCCCTTCCAGGTTTCTCTAAGGTTTTAAAACACGTTTGCTAGGGACAAATTTCTATACCCTTATTAAGAATGTTTTGTTCTCCTCCCCAACCGACGTGGGATCTCACAGTCCACCCCCTTCAGGGTTTAACGTCCTCACCGGCACTCATTCCCTTTTCCAATTGATGTGAGACCTCTCAATCCACCCTCTTTCGGGGGCCCAGCGTCCTTGCTGGCACATCGCCTCGTGTCCACCCCCTTCAGGACTAAGGCTCCTCGCTGGCACATTGTCCAGTGTCTGGCTCTGATATCATTTGTAAGGGTCCAAGCCCAGATATTGTCCTCTTTAGGTTTTCCCTTACGGGCTTCCCTCAAGGTTTTAAAACACGTCTGCTAGGGAGAAATTTCCACTCTTATAAAAAATGCTTCGTTCTCCTCCCAACCAATGTGGGATCTCACAATCCACCCCCCTTCAAGGCCCAGCGTCCTCGTTGGCACTTGTTCCCCCAATCCACCCTCTTTGGAGCCCAGCGTCCTTGTTGACACATTGCCTCATGTCCACCCTCCTTCAAGACTCAGCCTCCTTGCTGGCACATCGCCCGGTGTCTCGCTCTGATACCATTTGTAACAGCCCAAGCCCACCACTAGTACAAATTGTCTTCTATGGGGTTTCCCTTTCGGGCTTCCCCTCAAGGGTTTAAAACGCGTCTGCTAGGGAGAGGTTTCCATGCCTTTATAAAGAGTGTTTTGTTCTCCTCTCCAACACAAATCTCATATTTGTGAATAACTCAAATTGAGCAGACTTGAAAGAAAGGCCAGTTTCAAAGATGAGTGATGCATGGAAATAGATTGGACCTCTGTATTTTAAAAAGAGATTTGGATGAGAACTTGCTTTCTTTGTGTCAGGAAGTCAGTTGGTAACTTTCATAAGTGGTAGGGCAGTAGGTAACTTAGTAGGAAACAGAGGCACAAAAGGTGGGGCCATTTTCAAGCCTTGGATGTATTGAAGCCTCTCAAATCTCAAGCCCTTGTGGGTATGGCAGGGCATTGTCTTGGAAGGTTGAGCCCGACAATGAAGCCTTGTTTTCTACTGAAAAGGGGTATTAAAAAAAGAGCTAAAAAACAAAGAGATTACCACTAAATTAACCCTCTAATCTCAAACAAAATAAAAAGTGTCTGTCACAGACACGTGATTAGCTTAACATGTTTCTTCCAATTGTCCCTAAAACCAGAGGCAAAAGCTTATGTGATGTGATCAAATCCATGGCTTAGTTGGGTGACAAGGTGACCATTTCTAATTGTATTGTCACTCTCTGATTGCTCAAAAGATCGTGGAGGTGATTTTCTTTGCCCACTCTTAATAATTCAACCATCATTTCCTCTCTTTCTCTCTCATTTCCCTCTGCTATAAACCAATGTAAATGAAGGATTTTTACCATGACTTCTGATATTTGTATGATATGCATAAACTTTGGTGACTAAACATCAACTTAACCTTGTCTTCTAAAGACAATATGAGTGAAAACCGAACGACCAATGATGCCAGAGAAAAGGGTGTAGAAAAAAATGGAATCTGATAAGTGAGATTTCGAGTAAGTGAAACTTTTAAACCATAGCTCACCGCTAGTAGATATTGTCTTTTTTGGGCTTTTCTTTATGGGCTTCCCTTCAAGGTTTTTAAAATGTGTATGCTAGGGAGATGTTTCCACACCTTTATTAAGAATGTTTTGTTCCCCTCTCCAACTGATGTGGGATCACTTTCACTGGAACTCGTTTTCCTTTCCAATCGATGTGGGATCACTTTCACATCTCAATCACCATGATATTGAAAGGCCTTGAGCATTATGGAACATCTTTTATATTCTCTTTTCCTGTTTAAGGGCTTTCAATGGATAAGAATGTGAGGCTGTGGATTGGATAATCATCAGCTCACTACAACTAGCCCTCCATAGCCTTTTCTGATATGGTCAAAGTGTTAATGTTACGTGAGAATAATATCATTGCTATATGATAGATATTCATTGGAATGGACAATCTCAAATGGTCGAATCTCAAGTATGCTCCTATAGTCCCCAAGTTCTTCATTCTAATGATAAAACAAGAAAGAGAACACTAATACGACATAGTAAGTGTTTATTTAGTCCATATACCTTAAAACATAGTCAAAATTAGTTCATATTTTGCACTAAAAGTTAGAGAGTCCACACACCTTACAACTTATTTTAATTTGGTGGCTAAGAACATGATAACAAAGGGCACTTTCTCGAGCATATAACTCAAAGGTTTGACGCAATCATTTGTTAAGGAAAAACATGGATATATGTTTGAAAAGAGTAGTTGTTTATGTTTTTTTTTAATGAAAAGAAGAAGAACTTGATTAAAGAGGTATACTCAAAGTTTGTAATGGCTCCATTATAGAGTGGGGCAAAGCCCTTCTTCCCATTAGTTTAATAAGAGAAGGATTCTCCTTTTAAGGTTAAGGTCTTTTTCTGAAGCAGCTGGAAGCCAAAAAAAGATGCTGCATTACCTAAAAGCTCCCATTATACAAATATATACACATTTCTATACTTATATTCCTCCATTATTCAAGCTTATAAGAGAATAAACCTACTCATCACCATTCACAACTAAATTCTCTCCTTTCTCTCATCAACATTCATTACTCAATTACTCGTACGAATATTTTAATCAATTGAGCTATGTTTAAGTTGTAACCATCTGTCTTTTTTTGTAGCATTGTGCGTTTAAGTGAATTTGAAGGATGTAGAGAAAGCAATCCGCTTTGGCCCGTTACGTATCGTCGTTAGCCTCACGGTTTTAAAACTCGTCTACTATAGAGAGAGTTTAGTCTTACTCCAACTAGTGTCTCGCACCATCTGGTGACTGACTCTAATATCATTGTGAGATCCCACGTTGGTTGTAGAGAAGAATGAAATATTTCTTATAAGGGTGGGAAAATCTCTCCCTAATGGACATGTTTTAAAATCGTGCGGCTGACAACGATACGTAATAGGACAAAACGAATATTTGGTAGCGGTGGATGAATGGTATTAGAATATTGAAGTGACCTTCCTAGAAAAGCAAAGGGAGAAGAACCCCACAACAAAGGGGATGGCCCTTAAAAACACGGATTGTTGTGCTTGGTGGGTATGGCTTTAATTGGCGATTAGAATGTCCAGAAAAGCTTAGAAAAAGACACAAATATGACCAAATTCTGGTGAGAAGCTGAGCTTACAACTTGCTATTATTATTATTGCTGGGTTTGGATTCAAATATCCACTTCAAATATATTCATAGATAGATTAAGAGCCTCTTAGCTGATGTGTTAAAATTAAAATGTAGTACATGGGAGCAATAATTGTACATTAAATATGAGTCAACATTGGGACAAGAAATGGTCTATTCTTTTATTTAATATGAAGATGAAGGTTTTCCAACATGTCACATGCCTTACTCGCATTAATCACACACATGTTTTCTTCATCTTTTTCAAACTATGGGAATTTACGAGACTCAAAGATCTTATTATTCTCGCTTTAAGTAGTCAATTGAGTCGTTTGGGTCGACGATCGAGACAAAAAAAAAAAAAAAAAAAAAAAAA